GTGGTTCTTTGCAGGCACCGACCGTCACGAGCTAACTTCCTGGAAAAGCTTCCCATCTATTTTCAAATTCTTTACCGAAGCCTCAGAGGCCAAGACCAGCTCCCTGAAGCCAGCTGTGACGCGCCGCTCGCACCGCATAAAGCACGAAGAGCTGTAAGAGGAGCTAGCGCGACCGGGGAGGCCGCCCAGGAGCCGCCCTGACGCACGCACCCGCACGCCTCCTCACTGCTTTTGTCGTCGAGCGGACTCCCAGCCCCTCATTAGATTGTTTTCTTCCCAGAGCACAGGGTCGTGATATATACATCTAAATAGCGTTTTGCATTATTTCTAGATGAGTGCAACTGTCAAAGCAATATGGGTTCACTGGTCGTGCTTCCTGCGGGCTGAGCGCGGGCTGAGCGCTGCCCGTCAGCGCTCAGATTAAGGCTGACAGCGCCCTGCCTGGCGCGGCCCGCGCGGCTCTAATTGCCCTGACTGAGTCCGCGCGGGCGCTGCGGGGCGAGGGGCATCGGCGCGGTCCTAGCGCCCGCCGCAGCGCAGCCGCTGCTGCTTCCCCCTCTTTAATCATGTCCATCTTTCCCGGCTCTCAACCAGAGCAAACTTTTATTCCAGACTTCAGATTTCCATTTTAAATAGGCTTTTCCCTGAGGGCATCTTTTACCCCTCTTTTTTTTTTTTTTTTTTTAAGGAAGTCCTGCACACACACCCCAAGCCAATTGCAAATTCAGAACATGAATGCAACGATGTAGCATGTAATTTCGGGAGAGTAAATTGTTCTCTCCCTGTTTTCCTTTAGGGACCAGAAAAAAAAAAAAGAAAAAACTTTGCATAAAAATCTATAAAGTATTGAATCCACATTACTGCTAAAAATCCTTTTGCCAGCTGATTGTGAGTTTACACAAGTTTCTGATTTCAGAAAATACTGTTAAAACCAAAACAATGATGGGCAGATCTTTTAATTATAGGTGTGTAAAGTCCATTTTCAGTGGAATTTCCAACTGTTATCACTGGAATTGACTTTTTAAATACATAATGTGTACTGAGTGGCACTGTAATTTAAATGTAACACACTTAAGTTTTGCTTTTCAAATCTCTCTGTGGAGAAAGATTGTTGTTAATTCTTTCCAGAATGATCTATTCTGAGCTTTCCTGGAGTTAGGCCCTTCTAGGGATAGAATTTTTTTATTGTCATCAAGAAACTAAACCTGTGTGCTCTGCAGTTTTTTTCTTCTGAAAGGCTAAGTGGGGCTAAAATGATCCTTTTAGTTTCCTGCTTTAACAAGAAGAGAAAGACTTGGTGTGAAATAATTTCTTCTCTCAGTCCAATGGTATAATTTTTAGCACTCCGCTTCCTCTGTAGGGTTTAGCCCTACAATTTTAACAATTAAGTATTTTATTCCAGCGAAGATGTGGCCAACACTGTGAAATACAAGAGATGTTAAGGTTTTGCTGACTTTTAATTAAAATATTAAATTTTCACATTATTTTTTAATTATTTGACAAATTTAATTACCGAGTAAAGATTGTTTCTAATACATGAGTACCTGAATTTAATATTTTCATCCTTTTTTAAAGTGTATGCAACAACTAATATGCCTGCCTTAGAGGACATGATAAAATGTACCCAAAATGACTTAGAACTGTCTAATGCCTCAGAAAAGTAACTTAAAATCAGCCACCTCATGCATAAATGTTTTTATATTATGAACCAATTTCAACAAGTTTAAAAACTGTTAATATCTCATTGCCGTGTTTGACATATAAGTACATTCATTAGTTCTATAGTTTTAATGATGACCAACTGATCTGTTTTCAGTAGTCATGTCTGCATATCTTTTGGTGTTATTTAAGCAGAATCAACTATAGGAGGAAAAGTCAAAACGGCATTTTATTCAGCTAGTGGATGACTTAAAATGAGTAAGCCTCAACAACGTGAAGCACATTTGTCTGTGATATTGACCCTCTTTATCTGATCTTTACTATTTTAGAAGTAGTGGTGAACTGTTTAAAATAATGTCATCTTCCAGTGAGAAATTCAAGAATTGATGTGGATTGACTATATTTTTCAAGGTGTTATAAATTGTGTCGTGTTATCAATATATGAAAATGTTCACAGGAAACCATTTTATAACATTTTAAAAAACACTTGTGCAACGCTAAATTTGTGAAGCTTCTGCACCTGAATCAGAGCAAAATAAATATACTCAGTTATAAACCAAATCACCCCTATTCCTTCTCTCAAATCATCTCTCCTCTTTTTAAACCTTTAGCTAGAATAAATCACTATTTAATTGCCTCTAATACTTTAAAACTGCTGGATGGTTAGGCCTTGTTTAACTATCTATAGAGAGCTATTTGCAAACTTAAGTTGTGTAAATGTAATTTCTACTTGTGAATCTGAGCTGTAGCAGCCCAGAGGGAGCTAGGCAAACCATTTTAGACCACCAACTGGTAAGTGATCAGATTCTTTGTAATGTAGGATTTTTTTAACCTGTTGATTATGGTTTTGTTGATGTAAATGTAATAATACTGTTCACCTCTATTTTCATAGAGTAACAACCAGCAGTAGCCCACCTGCATGAGGGTGGCCAGTGTTAACAATATTTTTACTCTGATCTTCCCCATTTTTGTTTTCGCAAACAGGTTTTTAGGAGAGTGGAGATTTAAAGTCAGGATGTGGGTTTTTTATTTAATTATATACTTAATTCTTAGAACAAGTAGAATAGGAAAGAGGTTACTGTTAAGTCTAAGATTCAAAATAGTCCTGTCGAAACTTAAAGGCCAGATTATTGCTTTGGAGCTTTCTGAGATACCTGGCCATCCAGTTGTTAAACACTTTCATGGATATTTGAAAAGAAGACCATGTACTTGTAATAACTATTCTTTTCTCGAGTTTCTGCCTTGTGCTTTGACCTGCATTGCATTATTATTGTTTATGTGAAAACAAAAAAAAGGAAAGCACAAGCTTTTCCTGTATATTTCCATTTCTATTTTAAAATAAAAACAATTTTTCCCAACAACAGCGGTGTATCATTCTTTCTCAGAAGTTCCTTTATTCACCAACTGCATAGAGTTTTTTTAAAGCAAAAACATAAAAGGAAGGATGAGAAAGCATCCGTCAATATTTTAAACCTTATGGCTACTTTTTATTTCTTTTATTATTGCTGTAAGGTAATATCCTAACTTCACTCGAGTTATTTGGCTTGCACCTTTTACAAAGCTAACATTTATAAGACAGTTGTTTTAATATCTAAAATATCTCCTTAGCAAGGAAACCTGAACAATCTGTCATTAAACTATTGTTTTATGAAATAAACTTGAATATGCCATAAATAAATGTGTTTTCCAAGAGGAGTCTGGTGAGATTAAGTTGCCTCCAAGTTCGTGTATGTAGGTTCTTGATGTACTGTGTTCAGTATGAAAATAACATTTCTTTTACAGCTATTCCTTTCTTAAAACCTTTAGCTCCTTTTAGAGATATGTTAAGTAATTATCCATGCTAATAAGTTAGATTTTGTTTGTTTCCATGGGTTATTTGCAGTTCCAATCCAAACACGTGTGTCTCTTGTTACAGTCATATTTTTTTACTGTAAACTGACAGGATCCTGTTGGTGTCTGTAATCTTAATTCATTTAAGAAAGACTACTACTACAGAAAGTGTAAAAATTTCTCAAAAACTTTCCACATGCCTCTGTGGAGAAAAATAAATGTCTTTAAATAAATGTGAGACATTCTTATCTTTGAATATGGGTGGCAAAAAGGGGGATGATGGTGGTGGTTATTTTATGATTACTTATTAGTGGCTGTAATAATATAAAATAAAAGACTCCAGGAGGTACTCCCTTTCAAAAATTGAATACTTTCCTTCCTTCCTTGTATAGAATGACTGAGTGGGAGTCTCTTGAATTGTTCGTCTTCCTTTTATCTAATATTCTATTAATCTCCAAAAAGATCAGTTTGAGTCTGGGAAAGGGTTTTTAATCAACACTTCACAGAGCTTAAAGCTACCCTACCTAAAGCGTCAGCTTTGTTAGGCGGTTTTAGATTTAAAGCATTGCAACTGTCATGCACTGTACTAAAAGTAAAGAATGTACACCAAGTGGAAGATGTTGAAAAGAGGGAAATAGCACAAAGTCGATTAATGGAGATTCGAGAATAGAAGTAGCCATCAAAGCATTCCAGCATTTATCTCAAAATCTATGTAAGGTTTTTTTTTAAAAAAAGCAACAATGATAGTTTTAAACCACACATTTAGGAGGGATGAATGTTGATTTAATTGATTCATTTGGATCGATGTTTTTAAAGTTTCACACCACTGATCTTTCATGTAGTGATGTCTTTAGCAGTCAGTGGTCTGACATGAACCTTCTCAGATTTCATCAGTGGGACTCTCCATGACATCTAAAATTATGCAACAGCCTGTGCAATGGTAACTTTAGAATTGGGAGACCTTGATGCCAAAGAGCATGATTAGATTGAAGAACTCTTGTTAATTCCCAGCATAAAGTTTTTAGAGAAGTAATAACTGTAAAATGAACCTCAAAGGTTAAAGTTACCAAATAATATATAGTTGGCTTTAATTGCTAGATAGGAGAAAGTCATCCTGAAAGTTTGACCATTAAGTGGATATCACACAGTGACCAGTATTTTTCCCTCTGAATGTAAAAACCTTAAAAGTGGAAATTTGACTTAGTCCATGAGGCCTTCTAAGCAACTTTTCCCAGACCTTCGCCTTGAGATTTGTGAAAAATCTTTCACTATGTTATTTATATTGTTGGAGTTGAGTTCTGTTTGAAACAGACATGACACATGTTTCTAAAAAGAAATCTAAAGAAGTCCTACATCTTTCTTTTTAGATCATTCATCTTTTTCTTCCTTGACTATTACCTCGAGTAATATGGGGAACTGTCATAGGTAAAATAATGTTGAACTGTACTTTGTGGACAGCCTGCAACACCAATACAAAGAATCTGAAATGAAAAGACAACCAACACCCCAAGAATGATATGTCTCTTTTTAAAGTTTACTTCTTGAATAATGAATTTAGATAGAAACTTGGCAGGAAAACAAACCATGGCACCATCACATCACCAACCATTTTCACTTTTCTGTCCAATTTCAGAGTGCATGTGTTTGTGAGTATTTCACTAGATCAGTGACAGCTCTTTATTTGCATAATTATATGCTCTGGTCTGAAGAGAAAACTAACCCCCAAATTTCATGGGTCACCAAACTGCAACAATCAATGTTTTATCACGTATGCTAAGCAAAATCTAAGAAGCTATATGAAGTTTCTTGGGGAGTTTTTACTCCTCAGAAAATTAAAGAGTTTTTCTCTCCTGAATAGATTCAAAATCTTTCCAAGTTCTTTGTAACTGAATTCTGTTTGAAGGCAAAACTAGAGATTAACATGTAGCTCTGGATTGTAGACTCACTAGCATTACTTCAAAGTGGCTTAAGAAGAGCAGCATTTTGGGTGCACTAAACTTTTAAATTAAACACTGTCCTTCATGCTCTGAGGAAAAAAAAATCACTGGTCAAATTATGATTAGCCAAAATGAAGTTTGATTAACTATAATTGAGTATAAAGTTTATTTCCTTATTTAGAATTATTCAGGGTTTAAAAAAGAAAAACCTACCAAACTGAAAAATATGTATATGCTTCATACACACATACATATTCATTCTGAGGTACATATGCCCATTTCTGTCCATTTCACCTGAAATAGACAACATATACAATATGTCTATGTCTTTTCAATGCTTATAATATAGTAGGTGTTCTGTATATGTTGGTTACCAAGAATGTTTAGAAACTTCTGTTAAATAATTTTTTCATCTTCAAATCTGCAAGGCATTATAATAAATATTTTTAATATTTGAAGTTCATCGAACTCGTAAATTATCTGTATGTAATGTGCATTTGTGTGTAAGGTTGGCTTTATTTCATTAAATAAAAGTTTATTTAAACTGTTGGTATCTTTAGTTTGTAGGCAATCTGCCAAATTTGAAACACTTATAAGGCATAAATTCACATGCAGAGAGAGACTTTTTGTGTAGTTACTAAAATCCTGGAAAATATACCTTTACCTAGATTATTAAGGAATATATTAGGTGCATGATTTAATTCTGCAAAAGAATTTAGATATGAATTTTATTTAAAAGCATATAATATAGTGCCTTTTATTTGAAGTGATCTGTCAGCTTCTCATCAGGCAACTTACTGTCATCAACAAAAACAACAGGAAAAAATAAATCTTTAAGGGAAAATTTTTTCCAAGAATTACATAGTTTTGAAATGTTTTATTCTCTATCTGAAGAAGGATGAGAGGTCTTTAGGTCATGCATCGGAAATTTCCTAAAATGTTCTTATTCCTTCAAGTGAAAAAGAAACGAGTTCCCTCAAGTTTTTAACTAAGGTTGAATCCCAAACTGAACACATTTACCTGCTCTTGTACCTAAAAGCCGTAAACTTCTGCTTGTCACAGAACACTACCCAGGACCATCACATCTCATTTTTGTTACTGATCTTTCTGAAATGTTCAGCTAGTTACAACCCCTCTGTCACTCCTCCCCCCCCATCATCTACCTCCCCATAAATTGCTGTTTGGACTGAAGATCTTGGATTCTTCTAGGTGAAAATTCCTCAAAACTGAATCTGTAAAAAAAAATAAATAAACTCAAGGTTAGCATTTCTATCAAAATAAATTTATAAGCAAATGAGTCAAAATATAAGTATAGGGTTAGGAACTATGTGTCTCTGAGTTAGAGTAAGTACGTTTTATTTTTTAGGTGGTATAAACCCTTCTAAAGAGAATAACGCACAGTATTTAGACCTATTTATTTCTTTGTCTTTATTTGACCTTTGTGGGAACATTGCTTAGAGTGTCAGATAAGGCTCTCAGTTTTCCACTCTGCCAGGGATGCAGAAAAATGTGTCATTTCCCACTGAATTCCACACATGAGGGGATTGACCCTGTAGCTATCAGGCCTAGGTTTTCTCTTTTTATCATTTTCATTTATTTTTGCTCACATGACACCTAATCCCATTGTGTCTGAAAAAGGTGCCTCTGATCTAGTTCATCTTCATGTACGACCAAATAATTTTTCAAAGACTTATTTTCTTTTTTTAGCCACAATTAAATAAATGGCTTTTTTCCAATAAATGTTCACACCTTCTCCGGGTACTTGGATAATCAGGATTTATCAACTGAAGAAATATTGATGGTTTGTTGTGGTGCTTTTGTTGGTTCCTCCCTCCCCCCAACCCTTTTGCTTTTGCTTTGCATCAGTAAATTACTTAATATTATCTCCTGGAATAACCACCTCTAAAAATAACCCTACTACAGAGTGTCACAATTTGGCTTTCATACAGGTTTGAAAGAAAACCATTAAAATTGCATTGATCTCACAAATATTGATCTAGTGCTTGATATCAAATATCAAATGAGATGCTGTCAGTTGCTGCTGATCATTGTGTCAGCTGTTTGAATTCATGTCCCTTTCCTTCTTCATTGTCACATGGATTCCGGTTGCGGAGGCTAAGTGAGATTTTCTTAATTAAAATAAGTTCAATTGCTTTCCTATTTTTCACATTTCTGGTTAAACCAAACATAGTTTAATAATCTACCTGAAATTTTGGCACATGGTACGTCTGCACGTGTGTGATACAGGAGTGTGATTCAGTTCCTAGGTTATGTTTCTATTTAGCCTAACCTTGAAATAATTTTTAACTGTATACTATTTTCTTTCTGATCACCTGTATGTTTAAAAATAAAATTTGTTTTTAAAAAAATGCAGTTACTATAGTACCATTTTAGAACTTAAAATGAAATCGTAACCGTTTCTAATTTATACACACACAAACTACAATAGCAAATTACTCCTTTTATTCTTGCTGACGAAAATATAATTATAGCATTTGGCAGGTATGGAGTTTTGAGAATTATTTAGGTGAAATTGAATCTATATATATTTAATACTTTCTCAGTAAACTCAGCAGGTTAAGTCATGCTATGCTTTTAGTTCCTATCAAATCTAGAAATAGCTCATTGCCCCGGATATGTTTAGAGTTTCAAATAAAGTCTCAAATCATCCTTTTCCTTTCCTCCTTACTCTGTACTTTGTACATCAAAAATTGCTGATTACACTACTTTGAAAATGTGAGCACTTTATGAAGACGCTACCGGTTAACACTGCTGTCTGACTAAGCAGTAATGATTGTGAAATAAAGAATAGAACCCCCCTAAAGTACTATTTAAATTGTACAGCCACATTTGTATTTTCTACATTTGCAGGGAGAAAAATAAAAATCTAGCCGCACCAGTTGTTGGTGTTAGCCCTTACCCTTTTGTACACTTGAGCTCTGTTTGGGGACAGCAAAGCGAAATGAAGCCGCGCTCTCCCCAGCACCATGGACAGCGCCCAGCGCGCCCCCACCCCCACTTCCCTCTCCCCTTGCTTGGCCAGAACCCCAAAGCTCTGGCCCCTGCCTGATTCCTTTCTCCGACCACTCCCCCACCACAGAAAACTGGCTCCCGAAATATTAAGATCTGAGCCTAAAGCGACAGTGACTTTAAAGAGTATGCAGTTTGTGGGTGGAGAGTCTTGTTTGCTCCACGCCGGTGTTAGACGCCCAGTTTACACAACATTTGCCTGCGAGTCTTCCTGAATTTGGATCTAGTCTAAGCCGAAACCAGCGCCACTCTTGTCATTTCTGCGGTAGGGATCTTCCCTCCCCATCCCCCTTGTCCCCGACTTTTCTAAGGCCCACTTGTCACCACCACCCATAGCTGGCAGGAGCTGTACATGGCTGCACTTCAAGAGGTCTGTACTGGGAGCACGTTCCTCCCGGGCTCTGGATCTCAGTCTCGAGAGATCTGCATTCCAGAAGATCTACGTCCAGACCCAGCCGGCCCTTGGTCCCACGGCTCTGCCAGTGGCTGGAGCTGTTGGACTGGCTCGGGTCCGCCCAGGCACTGGTTAACTACCTCCCGGAGAGAGGCGGCTCCGCAGCGGGCGCCCAGCCCGCCGCGCGCTAAAGAGCCTGACGGCAACTTACTTGACAGCACCAAAAAGGGGACGCGTCTGGCTCAGTACCCATCACCTCTTCTACTTGCAGACCTTAAGTCCAAGCTGTGCTTTTCGGCACATCTCCCTGTTTGGATCTCTTTTTTGCTGTCTCGTCAAGCAAAGTACAATAAAGGAAGATCACTTCCGTGTGGTATCTTTTTCATTGCGTGGTCTCCCTAGCAACACTTAAGTTGCCACTCCTAAGACAAGACTAGTTTTTAAAAAAAATTTCAAATTGCACCTTGCTATATTGAAACTCGCCTCACTTGTTGGGCTTTGAGTGAAATCTCTTCCTTCCCACCAGGATCCCATTCTGGTCATCATCTACTCTTTCGAACCGATGTTCGGGACGAAAATACTAGGTCTCGAGTAGGTGAAACGGTCAAAACCAAATTTCTATTAAATAGCAATTGTACTAAAATAATTTCAAACTGACTTAATCCAAACTTTCCTAGAAAGAGTCAGGAATAAATGAAAAGGGGAAAGAACTCTAATATCTTAAGTTAATGGGTTTCTTGCCTATAGAATGCCCTTAATAAATTGATTTTAAAACTGCTTCTGTATAGTAACATGAACTACAATACATTTCAGGATAAATTATTATCTATTTGCCATAGTATTGCAAGAAAATTTTTCAGTAAGTTCCTTAATAAACTAAAGCAACAATTTAGCTTCAAAACACTTTATTTGTATGTCCCCTAAGATATACCAATATTTTATTAAATCCTTCACGGGTTAACAATTTAGTTTGTTTTCTCGAAACTGCCATCATCACCACACCTCTTTCTTATAGCACTGCTTGCACAAACTTTTTGTCTTTTCCTAGTCTGCAAAGTCACTGCTGAATTCTCCGCAAAGATGAATTTTTCCCCGTAGTTTGGATATTCTTTCCATCTCAAGGGTCATCTTGCCCAAATATTAAGATAAATCTATGCAACTAGAGAAACTCAGCCATGCCGAAAACTAACCTAGCAACAAGACCCTCCTGCAAAAACAGGAGACAACTCACGTTAGCTAATGCAGTTTGGCATCTGAAGTGTGCAGCATAGCAAAGACCTGTTGAATAATAGTGACTTGAAGACTTGAATATTCTAGACTAGGATCCGTCTCCCACTGTCTAAACTCACAACTGAAATAGATACATAATATTTGCATGTCTTTGGCCAGTACATTTTTGGGAGCTTATTCCATGAGCTGAGCTTCCGTCTTTGGATAAATTCGTTCTAGCTTTCCGCAGTTCAGGAGCAAGGAAAAGGAATCTCGTGCAGAGAAGGACAGGAGGTTTTCCTTTGTCAGGGCTGGGGGAGTTGTGGAGATTTGGGGTGGAATGGACAGCCCTTATTGAACTCCTGGGTGCCTAAGGTTTGTTCTCTCAGTCTGGGTTTTTGGGAATCGCTTTCTTTCATGAGGGATTTCCTTTATGACTTGGGGGAAAGGGGTAGTTAAGATCTGCATTTCATTAATCAATAGTTTCTTACTTTTTTTAAAAGTGTACTCCTGATTCAGTTTTCAGAATGACTTTTCTGGATTATTCTAAGTAAGTCAGAAACTCCCAGACCTGAGTAGAAATTTCAGAAACACTTTTGCCAGAGAAAAATGTGAAGAAAAGAAGTATGGGAAACTTGTTTTCTTTATAATAAATCAGAACTTTGAGGATACTTATCAGGTCCCCCTGAGAGGAGCATCTTCAGCGATGTTTGCTCGCCATCTGTATGTGTTCAGTGAAACTTTAAACCATTTTACAGTATAGATGACTATGTTTTGCTTATTATCCAAGCTTTTGTTTTAATTCCAACCCTACCATTCCATAGGATTGCTATTGTTGTATCCATTTTTTTCCTTTCAAAGTCTTTTAAAATAAGTTTCCTTGTCTCTTGCCCATTTGTCAATGTCAAATATACACTGCCTATTTAGTTAAAGTAAAGTGTGTGTTTCGTAGTTATAAGAACAGGTTTCTTTATTTGGTTTCTTGGAAATCAATAATCTCTCAAATGTTTGCAAAGACCCCTTGGGGAAAGGAGAGATGTAAACAATAACAGCCAAACTTCACCATGACAATACTGGTTTAAATCTGCAGGATGATCATTGGAATGTGGAGAGGTAAAGGGGAATGACTTCAAACTCCTGAGATTACAGAGGAAGGGACCCCAGGTATCTGATGCCTGGCTCCATCCCCTGCAACTTGTAAGGGACTTACCTTGGAGAGTGGGGAGTTAATTCTAAACTTCTTTACCAGACATCTTACTAGCCAAGCTGGTCATCAAATAATTTAATGGGGAGGTGGCTGGATGACCACAGAGAGGTTGCAAAAGATAGTTACCCCCATTAACAGAAATACCATGATTTCAGTCTTTCTTGACATAATTAAAGGCTTTGGTAACACTCCTTTATTTTGTCTCATGCTGTGAAAAAAATCACCTACTTCTCCAGAAAATTAAACTTTAAAATAAATTCTGCAGTTTAATTTCTGCTTTTAAAAGTTAGTAGGTATACGAGGAAACAGACAATGCATTAGAACAACTGAGTTACACTTCAGCTATTTAACAGTTTAACATTAGAGGGAAGAATACAGCCAGTTTTCAACTTAGCCAACTTTTAAAACTGCATGTGTTCCTGGAAAATAATACCCAACTAGAGTCAATTTGCATGAGATTCTAATCTAGGATCTCAAGAAGGTAATAGAATAAATGAAATTTCTTGAGTAAATGGTTTGGAAGCATTTGAGGATCTAGTGATCTATTAGAAGCACAACGCATTCAAATTTGAATTTTCATGATCAACTTTCAACCCTGAAAAAATGAGAGCCATTTGCTTAACTTAATCTGGAACATATGTTTGCACAAGTAGCAGGTTTTTTGGTGTGTGGCTGGGGCTGATCAAGTTGTAAATTTTCTGCTTTAGGTTTTCAGCGCCTGCGAGTTTCAGCCTAACACCTAGAGAGAGACTTCGTGGGGTTCTTCACCAAAGCAGCCTAGGGTTGACAAAAGGTTTCCAAACCACCCAGCACTGTGTGTTGTTAATTTCCCCCAAAGGTAGAACATTTCTATACAAATTAGTTTCCAAATCCTACAAGCAAGTAACAAGTTGAACTCTCCCATGTCAGTGTTTAAAGTCATAAAGAGATGTTTTTCTTTAATTTGCAACCATTGCCTTCCTCACCTGCAATCCTTTCTTTAAAAAACAGACAATGGTATGAGAGCAGTGGGTGCTGTGAAAATGATATCTTCATTCGACAAAATAATATTCAGGTCTTTTGGGCTTATCTTAATTTTTTCCACCAGAAGCTTAGAACTACTACTGATTTCTCTCTTCGTGCTTCAACACAAAGGAATTCCCCCAAAAGTGTTTTGAATATCTGAGAAGAATCATTTAGTAACTGAAATAAATATACATTAGAATCCACAAATCATCCTTCTTGTGAAACAAGCTGTATAGTGACTTTCATTACTAATATTAAAATATAACTCTTTGTAGCATAAATTTTTAGTACGTGGACTAAAAAGAAATCATAATACTTTTTCAGTCAATTAATGCTATCACAAATCAGCCTGATTCATCTTCGAGTGAGAATGGAGAGTAGTGGTGGGAGAGGGTGGTGGACTCCAGTGGGAAACCTCAAGGATTGTAAATTACTATCTGGACCTGCTGAGTTGTCCTCTTGAAAATCTCAATCAGATTCCTGTATAAAAGTTACTAAGGTGCCTTCTTAAATGCACCAGAACAGGTAATTGAACCACAAATATGCCCTAAATTTAGGTGTAGAGTTTCCCTGAATTTCATTATTATATAAATCAAGATGGGCAGCTCCCACCTGTACGATACCTTAATCAAAAAGAGAACAAGTGTGACGAAAACAAGGGCTATAATAACATTACCAGCACTGTACTAATCAAATACCCACAAATAGTTCAGAACAACGGTGCTAAAAAGCCGCTTTAATTCTGAGACAGAAAGTCCTGAGAGAGCGAGCGCCATCTAGCAAGCAAAGTTAGAATCAAAGTACGCCTGAGTCAAGCACAGAGCACAGAGGGATAGGGGATGGGGAGGTAAAGGGGGACTTCAAGATCACTTGCTGTGATTTAACCATCCGCCTAGTCTCACCTGAGCCCAGCGCTACCTGCAAAGTTTCTGCTCTTCGCCTCACAGACAAGCTCAAATAAACTTAACGACTGAGGTGAGACAGACCGTTTCTGCCTCGAGCCAAGGCTAAAGGACAGCTCCTCACAGGATTGCTTATTGTCTTTAATTAGAACAGGCCGCCTCTCCATCCCCTCCTACCACGTTCCCCAAGCCAGCCCAATGTCTAACTAGTTTTGCACCTTCTTATCCAAATGGGGACAAAGAGCAGTGCCTGAAAGGCTCACCTTGGGCTGAAATGATTCCCAGGGCTTCAGTGCAGGGGAAAGCGCATCGCTGGGAAAACCTAGCACGATTTGAGAAGTCATTCTGAGTTTACAAGGCTGCCCAGACGCCTCCTGACAGGCGATCTGAGCTCTCTCCGAGTGGCATAAGACGTACATTTACTTAACAAGCCACCGGTGGTCACGGAAATGGAATGCTGCCTCCTAAATATAAATGCTATAACTTTATTCTTCTCCAGGCAACCGAGTCTTTGATATTTCCTTTGGCTGAAGAAAAGTCAAAAGCAGCTAGAAAGCTGCCAAATACCCCTGTTAGTGTGTAGCTTGAAGGGGGTGGGGGTGGGGTTGAAGCACTTTTTAAAAATAATTTTAAAGTTTGAATGATGTTACCTAATTATAAGAATATTCTTTGGAACTGGGCTAACAACGTAATACAAAATAAAGCTTCTGGAATTTCAATGTGAAGAAAGTAAAGAATATCTCCTGGTTTCTGTAGAAGCAGGAACCCCATATTTTTCTTTTAAACCAGTCCATCTGAATTCCAAAGACTAAGAGAGTTCATCTCAACAATACGTGTGCTCTCTAAAGAGTCTTTCTGGAATTTCATTTTAAGGCTGGAAAAGAATCCAGTGTATATATATGCTAGCCTTAAAGTACTCCTAATTTCCTGCTATTGAATATTGCCTCTATAATAGCTCATTGATTCACATTGTTCTTAGAACACAGAGCCAGAGCTAGGGTTTTCCATTGTTCTGTCCTCATCTCCACTGCCCCACACACAATTTTTTCCCTATGAAGTGAAGTTTTGGAAAATAACAACAACAAAAACAAAAACAAAAAAATAGGAAATGAAATAGTATAATATCCCTGTTGAGTTTTAAATGCTACTCCAATCTCAGGTTTGCTCCTCAATGAACATAAGCACAATAGATATGAAATAACAGTCCTCTTGATTTTTCTACTGTGCTATTTGCAGTGCAAAACAACCACATTAAGAATAAAGGAAGCATTAGATAAGAATATGCTCAACACGCTCACAGGTCATAGTAGTTACAGGAAAAAAAAATCTCAGAAAAATCACAACCCAC